TGACTATGTTGGCAGGTCTTAATAAGGGCTTCCGTTGAACAGATTTCGGGCTCATCCCACTAACTTTGGCCATTTCTGCAGTCGTTAATCTGGGATCCATTTCGATGCTTCTCTTGACAGCCCTTTTTGTCCTCTCCGATGGACCAGGATGACCCGGACGCTGCTCAGGTGTTTCCTTGCCGTGTTCCCTGAACTGCACGATGATTCTGTTGACTGTCGAAAGCGGGATTTCCAAATTCTGTGAAATTTGCCACTAACTTATTCCACCATCTGCTTGACCAACTATCCTTCCTCTAACAAAATATGACAATTCGAGAGAACCTTGAGTTCTAGGCATGTTGTAGCACAAGATAATTAGTGTGCGGTCCATTTTCATTTATATTGTGCTTTGTAAACACAAATTAGTTAGCATAAATCAGTTAAATGACAAAACTTAGGTGTCTATTTACTTGTGACCACTCAGTGTATACACAGTATTGAACAAAGAAGTCACATGACCGGAACTGTTGCAAAACTTAGAAGAGGTATCTAGGCACCCCGGGGTGTTGGTTTAGAGTAGAGTTGTTTTGTTCAATTAAGATGGATTCCTTGATTTTTCATTTGTTTATGTTGGGTTCTTTGTTTAAAATGACTGAGTTTTTAATAGATATACTATGGTGTTTTGAGTTGCAATGGTGAAAAACATGGGACAGTTTTTTTATTGTGTTCTGTCAATCTGGTTTCCAATTTTCTTCCTGTTTCTCTGATGTAGAATTCTAGGCACTTATTGCATGTTATTTTGTAAATGACATTGGTATTGTGTGATTCTAAATAATTTTTGTTTAGTAACGATTTTAATTTAGGTCTGGGTTTTTGTGAGAATTTGACGTTGACAGGAATAATGTATTTAATGGCTAGTTTTGTTCAAGTGGATAATTCTTGAGCTGGTTTCAGGAACAAAAAGTAAACTGTAGTATAATGTACTGTTGTTGGATTTGTTAGTGTCAGTTTTGTTCGTGGGTTGAGTTTTATTATGGGGAATGTTGGAGAGTTTTTCAACAATAGCTGGTGGGAATTTATTGGTGTGAATAAAGGAATGCTTTATGTGGTTAATTTCTTCATTTATGTAGTCCGTTGAACAGTGTCTTGTGGCTGTGTTTATGAGGTTTTTTAAGTGTATTGATTTTTGTGTGGTGTCATGTGTGGAATTCCAGGGGATGTAGAGACCAGTGTGTGTGTTTTTGTGGTGAATTTTGGTTTTAAACTGTGTGTCTGATCTAATAATTTTGAGGTTAAGAAAGGATAACTGTTTATTGCTTTCGTGTTCTATGGTAA